TGTGTGTGTGTGTGTGTGTGTGTGTGTGTGTGTGTGTGTTAATACCTGTTGGTATCATCCATGTGTACTAATTGTTGTGATCAGTTTGATATCTGATCCGTGGTCCATTCGGAAAAAAAAGAAAAGTGAAAAAAAAACGTCGATGTGGCTCAGAAAAGGCCCGTGGAGTTACTTTTCTTCGTTTTCTAGATGCGGGATTGTGGATAATATCAAAACCTGCACGGGATGGAGGGCCCGAAATCCACAGTCCCCTCGAACTTTTATTATCGTCACGAACTGGTTTTCTGTTTCGTGTTCATTTTCTCATCTGTGCGTTATCATTTTAGCAAGATATCTCCCCGCTTGCTCCTCGTTCGTACTTCGTACGTGGCCATTCTGTCACCGAGGCATTGTTGTGATCACCATTTGTCTCCTCGTCTGCCCCTCCCGATTCCCCCCCATGGTCTCCTTTGCCAGTTCCTTCTCCTATCTATCACCACTGCGGATCCTCCTACTACTTCTGCTTGGGGTCCTCCTCCTCCTGCTGCTGCTTCTGCTCCTCTCCTCGCCCTCCTCCTCTTTCTTCTCCTGCTGCTGTTGCCTTTTCTGCGGCTGCTGCTGCTGCCGCTGCCTTTTCCACTGCCTCTGCTGCTTCCGCTGCTGATCCTTCTTCCCCTCCTCCCCCTCCCTTGTCCTGCTCCTCCTGCTGCTGCTGCCAGGCCTCCTCACCCTCCTTGTCCTGCTCCTGCCGCTGCTGAAGCTCCTCCTCCTCGCCCCCTCCCCCTTGTGCTGCTGCTGCTTCTCCTCAGCCGCCTCTGCTGCTGTCGCCTCCTCCAGCTCCCGCTACTTTTCCCCCTCCTACCTCCCACTCCACCTGCTCGGCGTCGTACGTCATGTCGGCGTCCTCATCTTCGTGTTCCTACTCGTCTTTCCCCTTCTGCTCAACCTGCTCGGCGTCGTACGCCTTGCCGCCGTCCTCGTCTTCGTGATCCTACTCGTCTTTCCCCTTCCGCTCCACCTGCTCGGCGTCGGAAGTCATGTCGGCGTCCTCATCTTTGTGTTCCTTCTCGTCTTTCCCCTCCTGCTCGCCCTGGAATTTAGCTGTGGGTGGGTGATGGCACCTCTGATGCTCTGGAGATGGTGGTCATCTGATTCTGACGTCAGTTCGGGAGCACCGACGTGTAACAGACAATTAACTCCTAGCCAGCCAAGGGGCCCTCCCTACCCAGCTAACTATGAGTATGGGCCTCGCACCACTACACAAACTTCGAAATTTATCTGGATCTCGTGCTGGTTGTGATGCTCTCAAAATGTTGGATCAGTTGAAATGTATCTGGTCCAAAACATAGTCCAGATACGTGTATGAAGTTGTGTTGTGGAGGGAGCGAGGCCCGATGATTTTGAGTATGGGCCTCACTGCACTAACACAAACTTCTAAATGATCCCGTTCTGGTTCCGATACTTTTGAAATGTTGGATCGGTACAAATGTATCCAGTCCAAGCCGCAGTCTCGATACATGTATAATATTGTGTAGTGGACGGAGGCTCTATGGTTCTGTGTCCGAAGTTCATAAATGGTTATGAGGCTGAGTGCATATTCACACACTCGCACTTTCCTACATGTATCTGACAGCAATTAGGGCCCCACCTGGATGTGTCTGTGCTTTATGCCCCGAGAATCTGAAAAAAAAAAAGCGCATGGCGACGTGTGAAAAAGCTTTGACTAAGGGCATCGCCACACCACTCTCAAATTGTTCAAAATGAGAATGAACTTCCCGCTAGAACATGGCCAGATGCACCCGTCACATTTGTCTTTTTCGCATTTCCAGAGTGGTGTGGCGAGGCCCTCAGGCCGGGACCCCACAGGAAATCTTTCGGAAAAGACGTCTGCCCACGAAAGGTGGTGGTCCTGGTAGAAGAGTTTTTTTTTTTTTTTTGTTTTTTTTTTTTTTGTTTAATTCGGACCATTTATCGATTGACGGATGCCATCCTTGCGAAGGCGCCATGCTAATCTTCTCTGTCTGTATCGTGTGGAAAAGTTTTGGAAAGTCTGGAAAGAGTTCTGTGGGGACCCCACCGCGGAGCGAGTTTTTTGCGGAAAGAGTTCTGTGGGGACCCCACCGCGGAGTGAGTTTTTTGCGGCAACAGGACATGCGCATTTTCCATAGCAGGAAACTACCCTGGTCATCGTCCCGAAAAGGAAAGTTGTGGTTTGTCTGGGTGGGCGGTGAGGGAGGATAGGAACCGGCGAGGTCCGGCAGCGGGTGATGTCGGGGCGGAACAAGAACTGCAGGCGGACACCTTCTTGTCCGACTGGGGGAGGAGACCTCGGAGGAAACGTTCGAGATGCCGCCCCCCTCAATGCCCTTCACTCGGCACAAAATCGCGCCGAAAATCTCTCCTTCGGGACTTTTCCAGGCTGCGAACGATGTGAAAATGGTTTCGGGGCCTTTTCCAAGCCAAAAATTGTGGAGTGTGGGGTCCCGGGAAACAGCTCTGCGGAGGAATCGTGACTTTCCATGGCCTCTTCCTCGGGTTGTGAGGTCCCGGGAACACTTCTGTGGCAAAAAAGGTTTTCCTTTCCGCATTCCTGCGGGGTCCAGGCGTAATAAAAACAAAGGAGTTCCCAAGTTTTGGGTTTCTTTTTTTTTTTAATGAAAGATTTGAGAGAAGAATGTAGAGTAGTTCTACAAGTAGAGTAGTGGTAGGTAGGTAGTGTGAGGTGAAATTGAGAGAAGAATATAGTTTTAGAATTGAAMAAAAAAAAAAAAAAAAAAAAAAAAAAGCTGAAAAGACAAATGGTTTCACTTACCTTTTAGCAAACTGCTTAATGTGGTGGAAATGGTTGGTGGAAATGGTCTGGGTGCAGCTGACAAGACAAAGTTATTGACAATGCGGCGAAATGCGGAAGAGGCGGCGTCTCCAGATGCAGCGAAAGACATCGCTTCTGCAGCGTTGGAGCTTGCGAGGACAAAGAAGCAGCAAGGGGACGCGAACTGGCAAGCTACAGCGACAAAACATAGTTAGCAGAGAGCGAGCGATTGGCTGATAAGTGGATAAAAGGCGAAGCTCACGTCGTTCCTTGTGGTTCTGTTCCTGGTCCAGAGCAAGGACCACGATGGTTAATTCTGGGGTTCATTCTGTTCCTGCAGCCTTGGAGCTCGCGAGGACAAAGAAGCCGCAAGGAGACGCGAACTGGCAAGCCACAGCGACAAAGGTTAGTTAGCAGAGAGCGAGTGATTGGCTGATAAGTGGATAACGGACAAAGCTCACGTACCTTGCGGTTCTGTTCCTGGTCCAGAGCAATGACCAGGATGTTTAGTTCTGGGGTTCATACTGTTCCTGGTCCAGAGCTAGGACCAGGATGTTTAGTTATGGCCCTTCTGGGGTTCATACTGTACCTGGTCCAGAGCAAGGATGAGGATGGTTATACCTCTGGGGTCCACCTTTGTCTTTCTTATGGTTCTGCTCCTGGTCCTCATCTTGCTTCTGGTTCCGATGTCCTATTCTGTCTGAGCAGAATGGAAAGTGCTAAGCAGCAATTGGGATGAAAACAGGCAAGGGACAGTAATTGGTTGGAGAAATGGTTTTCCTTTTCTTTTCTCTTTTTTTTTTCCCCCCCTCTTTTTTTCTTTTTTTTTTCCCTCCGATGGACCATGGATAACAATGGTTTCTTTCCTTTCTGCAGTCATCCGTGTCTTTTGGACAGTTCTGTTCCTGGTCCTTGTCTCTTTTGTTGTTGCGGTAATTCTTTTTTCTGCCGGACCAGCATGGTGAAAAAAAAAAAAAAAAAAAAAGGAAGCATAGTGAGCCGCAATTGAATGAAATGATTTTGTTTAAAATTAAAACCACCAGTACGTTTCTCAGCGATTTTTCCCCGCCGCGGCATGCATGCATGCAGCCACAAGTTTGCCTGCCGGACCAAAATGGCTGGTGCCGCCAGCCAGCCAAAAGAAGGCCCGCGCCGGTATGTTTCATTTTGTCGAGCAGGGCATTTTCAGGCTCAGCAGGGGAAGGATCGGAGGTGCTGGTGGTTTAAGGGCTAGGTCTGAGCTGGACACTATGCAACATTCTAAATGAATGTGGACTGCATGCTTGTCCCAACACATTCTTAACGTTGGATCAGTCTGAATCTGAAGATACTTTGCAGGCCATGTTGTGAAGCGATGGTAACTTCTGCGGTCCTCGTCCTCCTTATACTTTCTGTTCTGTTCTGTTCCTGGCCTTCATCTTGCTTGGGGTTCTGATAGTCTTTTCTGTCCATGACCTAGTCGACCAGCCATAGTAAGCAGCAGGTGGATGAAATGATTTCATTGGAAGGGCTCGCTCCACTACGCAACGTTCTCTTTTTTTTCTTTTTTTCTTTTTTTGTTCGCTATTTTTGCAATTTTGCTCCGGTCTATTGGTGTTGTCTGAGGACCAGCACTCGCTGGAAAACAGGTCCAGCATCTCACTGACTATCAGAAGGCCAGCCAGCATTGATTGTTCACAACATTCTAAATTTATGTATATGGAACTGATAATGGTCCGGATATTCAGACTGTTGGATAGTCCCAAGGTATTTTGCAGCTGGTATGGGCCAGAATCCAGATTCATCGGGAAGGTTGTGTAGTGGAGCAAGGCCCCGAGTTCTGCGGAGTTCGTGGTCCTTGTGGTTCTGTTCCTGGTCCAGAGGAAGGGCAAGGGAGTGTAGGGCAGGGTGCAGTCTGGAAGCGGTTGTCGGTTTGGGCTGGCACGGCACTGCTCGGTGGGAAAAGCTTTTGTGATCGAAGCCAGGCCCAACTTGGAAGGGTCATTTTTTTTCCCTCCCTTCTTCTGAGAAAAGGAATGAAGTGCAAATGACCACGCAGGCAATGGCATGCGGGGTGATTGGTATTGTTTTTTTTTTTTTTTTTTTTT